CCCCGTGCAGCGCAGCGCCGCGCCTCGGCCCGCAGGCTCCTCCCCGGGGCCCGCCCCTTGCCCCGCAGCGGGGAGGCCCCGCCCTGCCCCGCCCCGCCCCTCCTCTTCCCGAAGTGCGTCCCCCGTCCCCCCTCCCTTCCGATGCGCCGCGTCCTCGATCCCGCCTCCTCCGCTCGGCCGCGCCCTCCGGAAGGCTGTCCCTGAGCCGGTTCTTGCCCTGACCGCCTGGCAATTGCGCCGTGGGTGCGGAAAGTACTTTATCATGCTTCAGTATTCTGGAGCCTTTCTTTAGGCCTTAGAAAGCAACCCTTTGAGTTGTGTTTTTTTTTAAATGAATTATTTGTTTAACTTATTATTTTAATTTGCTATAGGGTACGTGCACTCATCTGAGTGAGCGAAAGAAAAACTGAGAAAGCAAGCCTCCAGGTGCAGGACTCAGACTGCAGTCAGCCATGTGAGAGTCCAACGCCTTAACCACCAGGCCACCTGCTGGTCCTTAGCTGTATTCTAATAAGGGTTTCTTCCAAGAAGTTGGGGGCCTTATTGCTCTCCATGCAGGTATACTAGGAGAATCACTTTGGGAACTAGGCTGTTCTACCTAAAATTCCTAACAGCACAGGGTCCAAGTGCACCATTTCCCCTACTTCTTTTCCTTCGTGACAGCTCTCCCATAGGATCTGCTAAAGAAATTTGACCAGACTGGCTTATGCTTCTGTACAAAGAAAAAATTTATTCTTCTGCACAATGCTTCTGAAAAATCGCATATTATTGGCTTTTATAGTTAAAATAGCACAGAATGTTGACCAAAGCCTCTCCCCTGTTCAACTTCTTCTAATAATCATTTAACCATTGGATGTTCTCAAATGTAAAATTTCTTGCTAACATGTATCCTGCTCTTAACGCCACATAAGCATTGAGGATTGTTAAGTGCCTGTCACATCATTTATTTCTTCTTTCATCTTTATTATTGCCTGGTATTCTGTCCATCTCAGAATGCCTTTCTTCATGCTCCAGACAGTAGTTAATTGTTCACTATGCTCCCTCCATCACAGCAAACATGTCTGTCATTGAATACTTGGCCTTTTTATTTGCTAGAGGGCTCTTGCTCTTGTCAGGGTTGGGGAGTGAGAAAGCACCACCTTCTACAAGGGGAATGGTGACACCACAATCCCTTCATCATTTCTCCCTTCTTTTGGGATTTTAGGCAGGCCTGCTCATGCACCTGGAGAGTTTTCCAAGTCACCAGGCTGGGACTCCAGCTGCCATGTGGAGTCTGACTCCCTTAACCACCTTGCCTCAGGGCCTGCCTTCATTTCATTTTTCTGATAGAGTATCTTCTGGAGCCTTCTGCTCCACACAACCTATGCCTCCTGCATAGTTGTCAGAACGTCTCGCTTCTTGTTCTCTGGTGTTGCATCTTGGATTTTTTTTAATGGTTTATTTATTTTTATTCATTCATTCATTCATTTTATTTTGATTTGACCAGAGAGAGACACAGAGAGAAAGAGAAGGAAAGTAAGAAAGCAAGCCACCAGGTCCAGGACTCGAACCGTGGTCAGCCATGTGGGAGTGTCCAGCGTCTAAACCACCACGCCATCTGCTGGTCCTGCATCTTGTTTCTTATAGCTTATTTTTTTTTTCTTGGTTTACTTACATTTTAGAGAAGCACAATCTTTTGTATCTTTCTGAGCAATGAAAAGTAAAGACAAGGAACATTTTTTTTTTTTGAGAGTTTTTTTTTTTTTTAGGGTTTTTTTTTTTTTTTTCACTATAGGGCGCGTGCACTCGCCAGACAGAGAGAGACATAGAGACAGAAAGCGAGAAATCCCCCCCCGGGGGGATGGTCACGCCGCAATCCCTTCTCCTCCATTCTCCTCCCGGGATCTTGGGCACGCACACGCGCCCGGCGTGAGTTTTAAGCCACCAGGGTCCGGGACGCGAACCGCGGTCGACTACGTGGGAGTCCAGCGACATAGCCATTATGCTAACTGCTGGTTCCCAAGACAAGGTACATTTTTTTGAGATATTTAATATCTGAACATGCCTTTTATTCTAACCCCTCATGTGAGTGACAGTTTACTAATCAAGAATAAGATTGTTTTCAATAATTCCCTTTTGAAATGTGATGGATTCGCTCCCCTGATTTCTGGTTGTTGTTGTTGTTGTTGTTGTTGCTGTAGAGGAATCTCAAGATATTTCCTTCTTTTTTAAAAATTTATTTAATCTTATTTATTATATCATGATTTGCTATTATTATTTATTTGACCAGAGAGAGAA